GTAATATGTAAAGCTGGTGTTAAAAATTAACATTGGCCTACCGCTTGTACTAATAAAGTGCCAAGGGCCTAAGTGGTTACCTTAATATTAAAAAAAAAAAAAAAAAACAAAATTTTAAGATATAAGTAGTTTTTTAAAAAATTCATTGTTTTGTTATACAAAATTGATTTACATGTTACACCTAATTCTGAATTTTAATTGGCAAATTTTTTTTTTAATTTTTTGACAGTCTTGCCAGTACTCAATTTATTTAAGACTATATTTAGATAAGAGTTAAACTTTTTTGAACAATACATTATTATTCATAACCATAACAGGAAGTCTCGTAATTGTGAGCCTGACATCACCCGGCTGCGATAAATGTGCCACATGTGACTTGTCACACCAACCTGTATACAAGTTAGATAAACTCTGTCAGCCTGTCAAAGCTTTTCTCTTCATATTCTCTTTCTTTACTAAGAGCAAAAGAAAGTAATAATCTTATATCTAATACAAAACTACCAATAGTACCAAGAAGACAAAATAAAAAACTAACTAAAAAAAACAAATATAACAAAGGAGAATTTTTAAAGGAAAATAAAAGGGGGGTACAATGAAATATAAAAAAAAAAATTCAAAGAAAAAAGCTCGAGAGCCAACAAAGAAGAAACTACCTCTATCAAGAAATAGTATAAATGGAATAAAAGAAAAAAGAAAAGTACACTATTATAACCTATGCCAGGTTTAAGAAAAAATTTTATAACAACTACAATGTTTGTATATTTTGATTATAAAATTTTTATCTGACTACTGGCCACCTCCGGATGCCTCTTATACCAGAGACCTAATCCCAGTCACGTAGAGTATGTGACATGGAGTTTCTGGGCATGCTCTAGAGGCATGCCTAGGGGCATGCCTAGGGGCATGCCTTTAGGGCATGTCTTTAGGTCAAAAGGCATGCCTCTATCATGTGATTACAGGAAAGATTATTATAAATATGATTGGCTGATATTAGAAATAGAATTCAATATAGCAGACAGTCTTAATAATTGATTAATTTTTAAAAAATTTATTGCTTCTAATATAGCAATACTATTGAGAAATATAAAAAAAAAAATTTATATAAAAAAGCACAAATATATGTACTAAGTATAATAAATGTTTAAATCAATATACTGGTATAATAGTAATTTATTAAAAATTTTTTTTATAGCCAAAGTTTTATGTCTCTAATATTATAATTTTTGGCAATTTATATATTAAGGGCATGCCCCAGGGTACAATAAGAAGGGCATGCCTTTACTTGGGGGACATGCCCCTAGGGCATGCCCAAAAATTTTTCCATGCCTTCTACCTTACAGTTACGTGAAGGTCCTGTATCTATAGACTATGTCATGTATTATATCTACCAATAAACAAGGCACATAGTTGCATTTCTGGATATGTCCAAATTTGGGAGGTAAATAATGCTGATCTTTTGGAGAGGTAAACCAAATTGCCCACTTTTTGTTAAAAATTTTGGAGAAGACCAGCTGAGCGAAAACACCTAGAAAGAGACTACTTGCACCCAAGGAAAGTAGTTATATTTATAATCTTCTTCTAGGAAAGAGGTGGGGCACTTATTTTTTTCAGTGGGTAATAAACTCTGGGCTTGTTGGCAAGTAGCATATAAGAACTACTTCTAAATAACAAGTGCTGTGTATACAGTGAGTGATAAACTCTGAAGAAGTTAGCAGGTAGCATATAAAAACTACCTCTAAATAACAACTGCCAATTTATAGCTTCTAGGTATGCTTTTCGTGTTTTATTAAATGCTATTGTGTTTTTTACAAAAATGTGTTTGGATTTTTTGATACAGGCAATTGTTAGAAAGAGTTGACTTATTATAATATTTTAATTAGCAAATTAAAAATACTGTATTTTTTAAAATATTATAAAAAATTTACATCTCAAATCTGAAAAGCTGAGTAAATTACAACTACGTGTTTGACAGATATAGTACTACTAATTTGGATAGGTCCCGAGTTCTAGGTCAGAACCAAATATTCCGGAGTCGGTTATATAGTCGCGAAGGGTTTTATTAGAGATATACAAATATTGTATTTGTTATATAATTTTTATACTTGCCTGGTATGGGTTATAATAGTGCACTTTTTTTTTTCTTTTTTGTTCATTTTTGTGCTATTTTTTGATAGAGGTAGCTGCTATTTTTCACGGGAGATAGCTTTCCTTGTTTAGCCTGTCAGGGCTTATCTCTTTGTTTTTTCTTTTTTTTATATTTTATATTTCTTCTATTTTTATTTCTTATTATTTTTCCTTTCTTGTTTTGTATTTTTTTTGTATATAAGCTCCTTTTCTTCTTGATGTATGTTCTAGTATTGAGAATATGGAACATTATTTTTTTTTGCTCTCAGTAAAGAAAGTAAGGATAAAGAGATAGGCTCTTGGCGGGCTGACAAGGTCTTCTAACTTATATGTAGGTTGGTGTGACATGTCGCTCTTGGGCATACTAGATACAGCCAGGTGATATCAAGCTTGCAATTTTTATACTGTTATTATTTATTCTATTCGAGGTTGTTTAATAAAGTATTATATTTGAGCTCCGGAAAGACTGTTAAAGAGCTAAAAAAAAATAAAAAATAAATTTTGATTAGTTAATAGCCTTATTACTAAGAAGAGAAGATATATAATTTATATAAACTTTAATTATATAATTTACTGCACTTCTCTTAACTGAAGACTCTAATTTAAGTTATGTAAAGTAATATTATATTTATAAATAAACAAGACATAGGAGGAGGAGTCAGTAGAAATGGAACAAATTTATCTAAAAAATTTGTCTCATTTCTACTGACCTCTCCCCATATGATTGTAGTTTACTAAGTTTGTTTAAATTTGAAAAGTAAACAATACTAATTTTTTAAAGAGAATAAATCAAATCTTTACTTTTTGTTAAAATTTTGAAAGATTAGCAAAAGAGCAAAAGAGATCTATAAAAGAGAATCACTTGTTTTAGTAAAAGTATATATAGAGTTTTTGCCTTTATAGTATTATATACTACTATATAAAGTCATTTTCAAAATAAAAACTTTATATATTTTAAAAAATTAAACTAATTAATAAATCTTTCTTGACAAATTAAATTAACAACTCTTTATATAAAAAAAATTTTTTAAAGCATGAGACTAATAAACAAATAGCCAAAAGTAATCTTGAGATTAAAATAAATGCTTTAGTCAAAAGTGAGTGTAGCACTACAGACTATGAACTCGAAGAGAAATTGCTGAAGGGGTATTTAACAGTAAAGAGCCAAAAGCCAAGAAGTATAATAAAAGATCTAAAAGCCATGAAAATATATATAACTCAGTTTGGATGCCAAAAGAGAAATTTGGCACCAAAAAGAATACAAATAAGTTATAGTATTTGTTTATATTATGGGACCTTCCAAAAGAAATGAGCGGTAATGAAATCAAGAACTATTTAAAATTTTTTGGCTCAGCAACAATTATGGCCTAGCAATATAGCTTTTCTATAAAAGCAGTATATGTTAAAATAGTATGCAATATAGAAAGCTGAGAGAGTGCATTGAGAGAAAGCTGGTCAGTTCAGCTAGGTCATGGTAGAACATACAGAACAATGCCAGGCAAATTCAATCATACAGAGCTTGAAGAAAGAAACAGATTTAAAAGTATAATTTATAATGTTCCAAGAACTGCATATGACAGTTTACTCCTATGCCAACTAAAAAAGTACAAGATACAGGCAGTTTACACTCTAGAGAATCGGCATGGTAATCGCAACAAAAAAGTATATATATACTTTAAATTAAGAGAAGATATGATATAAGCCCAAGATGCAGGCCTGTACTATTTTAATACTAAATTAGAATGGTGAATTCTGGCAGAGAAATATAAAAAAGGAAGCTATAGAAGCAATCAACTCTACAAAAAAACCCAACCACAAGATCCACTAGCCAAAAAAAAAGGAAAAGAAAGAAAACAATAAAAAGAGGGAAGACCTAGACTTAATAGTCGAAGAAGAAAGAAAGCCCAAAGTTAATAGGGCCCTTGTACAAAAAACTAGTAAAAACACAGTAAAATTAGCAGAGCAGAGTAGTCAATTGGTAAAGAAAGATTATAAAAAAGAAAACTGGCCGCCCAGATACCAAAAAAAAAACTAAGCCTTTGGATAATTCAGACCTCAAAGGCAACAACTCAATTCACAACATGTTGTTACAAATTTTAAACAGACTCGACAAGCTTGAAAATCAAAAGGAGCTTTTAGTAGAAGGCACTTTAGCTTATTGCTCTTAAGGGCACCAAAGGTGCATTAAATGATTACTCTGAACCTCAAAAGGGTAAAAAAAGGGAGCCACTAGAAGAAGGTCCAGAGAGGAGACTCCCTAAAGTAATAGAGGAAAAAGTTGCAACATACGAACAATTCGGGGTATTAAATATCAGATTTCATAATATTAACAGGATAAAAAACAATAAAAACAAACTAAAGGCAGTAATAGACTTTGCAGAAAAGAAGAAAATAAATATTTTGGGTTTAGGAGAAACCAATATCAATAACATAGAAGGTATTTTCACAACAAAAGATACAAAGATATATAAAAGTTTTTGAGCAAGCAAGAAAAAAGGATTAGGCCTGGGGTGCTAATCAAGAAATATCGAGAACAACATATATTACGAGACAACCCATATCTTTTAAAACTTAGTCTGGAGTTTAAGAGTCTGATAATAATTATAATCTTTCTGTACGTTGCCCCAAATGACAAAACAAGACAAGAAGAAATTTTATATATGCTCAGAGATACTTTAGAAAGACCTAACAGAAAGCCGCAGTATTTTATAATCTTGGAAGACCTTAATGTTATTACACCAAACCTAGCAGATAGCAAAGTGGAAAGTACAAATACTAAGTCCAAAATAAAACAACAAATTGTAGCACTTCTAAAAGAAAAGAATATATATGATATACAAAACCTGGCTTGCACTTCAACCTAGTCAAACAGAAAAACAAAAACTAGAATTGACTATATATGAGTATCAGATATATGAAAAAGCAGTATAATTTATACCAAAGTTAATGACATGGATCTCTGTACTATAAGTAATCACAAATTAATAAGAGCAAGTATTGCTACAGAACTTAAAATAAGGAAAACAGAAGCAGCCAAAAGAAGATGAGAAAACAGAAAAAGAGTCAACTTAAAGTTAAATAAGGCTTCTAAAAAGGATTGGATCCAGTATAGAGAGAGTCTCGAAAAGAAGATAAAAGACCGCTGGAACAAGTACAAATCCAAAAACATGGATGAGAAATGAGATATAATCAAAGAATATATTAGAATAGTAGCAAACACAAGTTTTCCAAAAAGAGAAAAATTACCAGAAATCATGAAGATTAGTAAAGAAAGTAATGAAGTACGAGCACTAAGACTAGCAGTAAAAGCATGTAACAAGAGCTACTGCAAAGCGAAGAAAGGGCCACTACAAGACATAATCAAAGACAATATACTTAGTGCATTAGAAAAGGCTGATGCCCTAATAGGTAATGATATAGAAGATAAAACAGACGTACTAAGCTCAGAAGGTCTTAAAAACTAGGCAAAAATACTATACAAGGAGTAGCACAAAAGAATCAGAAGTATTGAAGAAGCAAAATTAGAGAAAGTATAGAAGAGAGGCATAGTATAATCATTACCAACCAACAGAAAATACTCAATAGCTTTCTAGATCAACCTCACAGAAGAATCAAAATAGACAGGGTAGTTAAGAAGACAGAAGAAGAAGCAGAATTGATTTATGAGCCAGAAGGCATATTAAAAGAGGTCAAAGAACACTTCGAAAAGCAATTTCGTACAAGAAATACAGTACAGATAGAGGCTATATTAGCAAGGTGGAAAAACCAGTATGCTTTACAAGAAAATATAGATGAGTCTTGGTATAAAAACACTACAAATAAGATTAGTCTAGCTGAATAGAAGCAGGCTCTGAAGCAGGTCAAAACCAAGTCAGCCCCAAGAAGAACAGGTATCATATACCCACTAATAAGAAATATAAGCTCTACTACAAGAAGGTTCTTCCTTGATTTTGCCTCCAGATGTATAGAAAAAGGTACTATGCCAAAAAAGTAGAAGCTAGATATCTTGTACTCAATACTCAAAACCGAAGACTAGTGTCACAACCTAAACAATATATAGCTGATTCTATTGTTGGAATTGTTCTGGAAAATGATAGTAAGAGTAATCACAAACAGGCTAGCAAAAATTCTCAGTGAAAAAGAAGTATTAAGAGGCAGAAATTTCGCGGGCCTCCCAGAAGAGAGTATAGCAGTACCAGTGTATCTCATTAACTGCTTAGTAGAGGAAGCGAAGGAAAAAAGAAAAAAATATAGCTCTTATTTTAGGATATGAAGAAGGCATTTGACTCCATGAGGCTAAAAATACTTACAATTGTACTGCAAAGAATCAAAATCCCAGAACCACTAATATGCTTCATTATAAATCTCTTTGATTACTATGAAATAGAAGTCTTAACAAGCCTAGGAACTACCCAAAGATTTGTAACAGGGGATGAGATTGATTAAAGAGAAGTAATTTCCTCTCTTGTATAGAGGATATTCTACAACCCCCTGCTGATAGAAATTCAAGAAAACAAAAAACATGGTTATGAACTCAAGGTGAACTGGCCAAGTGATTTGAGCAAAAATTATATACAACGACAAAGCTTAAGAATCTCTGTAATTGCGTATACTGACAACACAACCTTCGTAGCATTCAGCAAGAAAGAACTAGAAGAAACGATTTGTATAGCACTAGAGGTTCTATCTATTAACTGTTTATCTATTTATTTATTGAATATCTGATTTTTATAGATAAACAATTAAAATAGATTAATAGATAAATATCTGGTTATTCAATAGATTATCTGGATTGTCTATATAAGAAATACAGTATTATGTAAGGCATTATTTGAAAACCCCTTTGTATATTTTTATACACCCCTTGCATAATCCTACATAATTATGCATAAAATATGCACAATTATACACAATTATGCAAGGGTACATAAAAATATGCAAGGGGTTTTTAAATATATTTATCTGTTTGGATATTTGTCTGGATATCTGTTAGATATCTTTTACAGATATATCAGATAATCTGGATAAATTTTTTGGATATTTGATATAATCAGATAGATATCTGAATCTAATAACACAGATAAATAGGTGGCAGATTTATCCAGATAGAACCTCTATATAGCACAAGAGTTTTATAAAATAAATGATATCAAAATCAACAGCAAGAAGTCGGAGTTGCTTATAATAGATGGGAAAAAAATAAAGGAGCCTAGATATATAGAATTTGGCACACCAAAAGCAAAAGTATTCAAAAAAAAGACAAGCAAGCTAACAAGATTTCTCAATATTTGGCTTTCAAAAAAACATAGTCAGCAAAAAAAGAGATACAAGCAATCAATATAGCAATTTACAAAAAAACACCTCGTTAGCACAACTCATCTATATTAACAATAGAGTACTTATTCCAAGATTAAAGTACCGTTACAACATTGCATAATCCCAAGAGAACAATATGACAAACTTCAAAGCCCTATTCTAAAGCTTGTTAAAAACAAATCTGGCTTAGCCATCACTATGGCAAATGTAATCTTAGCACATAAAAATATAGTCAGCCTTAAAACTATCTGGCAAAATCAGATAGCTTATCATATCACGGAGCTAAAAAAATATATAAATAAAAACAATAAAATTGGCAAAGCCACATAGATTAGAATTCAACAAGCTCAGATAGATTGTAAAAGCATTCAGTGTATAACAAGCCTAGACTTAGCAAGACTAAAGAAGGTTAAGCTCAAACAAAACCTAGTATATAAAATTCTGAGTAAAGCAAAAAATATAAATATAAGTATAAGATCTAGAAAAAAAGAGGAAAGTCTAAAGCTTATAAAAGCTGAAATAAAAATCATAAATTTTCTAGATAAAAAAACAATAAAAGGCTTCATACAAGAAAAAGAAACAGATATCATGGTAATAGAGCAGATATTGGACAGTACAGGCAAAAAATATTTACTTGGGGCCAGATTAAGAAATGCAAAAAACAAAAAGCAAGGGGAAAAACTCTGTCATGGGTTAAAAAGATAGAGAAAAAGATAATTGAAAATCTAATAAACAGAGAAATCAAAGCAGAGTTTAGAACCAAGACGACCAATAGTCTGTCCCCTAAGATAGATTTAGTAATGATAAAAAAAAAAAAGATTTGGTACTCCTTAAGGCCAAAAACAAGACAGTAATAGGGAAAATCACAAAGAAAAAGAGAAAGAAAACTATCTTAGTAGAACACTGGAAATACATAAAAGATCTGTAAAAAATATTAGTCAAATTGGTTAAATGCAGAGGTTGCGAATTTGGCTCAATGAAGTATTCAGAAGATGAAATCTCTTGTATAAGAAGGCTAAAGAAAAACAAGATGCAGAGGATTCTCCCAAAGATAGTACAAAAGGTATCTACCCAAGACTAGATATGGAAATTAGTCACTCTACTTAGTAGTATTGTAGATACATCGCAGCAATTTAAGGAAAGCCTAAACTTAATGAGAAGTATACAAAAATCTTTAGTTAAGAATATACCTATTTATCCACTAGAAGAGGAGATCATAAATCAAGCTCTTGAAGATACACAAGCTATAAATGAGATTAAAGAAGTAGCATCTCAGTTAAGAGGAAGAAGGCGAATCACATTCTATACAGACAGCTTATTGCTAAACCCAGTGAAAAAACCAGAGAAAAGAAAAATGAGTTTGGGTTGCATTGCTATCTTAGCATGTTAATTCAAAACACATAAAAACATAATAGCCAGATTTCAGTGTATAATTAAAAACTAGCTATCATCTGCAAGAGCCAAGCTAGGTGCAATATGGACAGCCCTCTATACAAGTCAGTAGTTGAAATACTAACTGATAGTGCAGCGGCAATATAGGCAATTCAAGCAAGCCTAAGCCCAAAAAGGATATATGATGTGGTTAAAAAGAAAAACCAATGCTTCTTGAAGCAAATACAGTATACAGTCAAGTTAAAAGAGCTGCAAATTAGGTTAGAAAAAGTTAAAGTACATAGTAGAATAAAAGAAAACGATGAAGCAGATATTATTGCAAAAGAAGGTGCCCTATATGCTACATTTATCTCTCTGAAATGGCTAAACTTAAGTAGAAAACCTAAGAGTAGATAATGCAACAAGAAGCTTCATCACACAACTTATTGCAGTTAGTATTGGTGCAGAGTGGAAAAACCTAAAAAGTATAAACAAGTGGATAGAAACTGAGCAAGATACAAATGTAATTGATTAGAAAGAGGTTTGGAGCAA